TTGTATTCTAAAGAACTGCTATTTAATCTTTTACTGTTATTATAATATTCTTGAGATTTTCACGAGTGCTTTCTATATAAAGATTATGCGATCTCGCGGGTTTTCTCCGTGTCCAGATCTATTCTTGCAATGCCAAAGTTTCATAAACTTTGCAGTTCACTTCATCAGGGCGAGGAGCAGCTGATACTGTGTTATAATTCACAATCACTCATTTACAATCATATTTATTTTTCTATTGTGTTCCTTTTGTCCTTTTCTGTTATGTTCACAATTAATAGCAACTTGTTTCAAATTTATAGCGTTTTTTCGGCTCGACCGAGTTTGCATTAACTTAGGTTGAAATAATAATGTTTCGTGCTCTCCTATTGGTAGAGCGTGTAACGTTAGCTAATAGCGAAGCATTTTCTAACTCAAGTTGGTGCAAACTTGGGGATCGATATTTTCAAACAAGGTGAAAATTATAAAAATGAGCAAATTTACTAGCAAATTTACTAGATGTTGACAATGAAATTATTAGTATTCTAGTAAAGTTCGCTTACTTTCGTAATTTTCATCTCATTTCAAAATACAGAATCGATTCCCGGTCGGGCCGAAAACTTATTAGACAAGTAGCGGAGCTACAATCAATCAACGAGGCGATATTTTTTATGCCATTGTAAATATCGTCTCGTTGATTGGTTGCTGCTTGAAGCTTGCTGCATCTGAACTAGACATAATTGTAATACTTGTTTTAAAGTGCATTCGGAGCAAGCTTCAAGCAGCGGAAGCAGCAACCAATCAACGAGGCGATTTTTATAATGGCGTAAACATATTTTTTACCCCGGATCCTCATAGAGACAACAGCGCTTTATAGAGACGACAGACATAACACAAAGACAACACAAAGAGCACTGATTAGTTGTAATGATAAAATTTATCTCCATCATCCGTTCGTTTTTCACCAATCAGTGTTTGATATCAAAGTTCTGTTGCTTGTATGAAGATCCGGGCTAAAAAATACATCACTGCTCAGCTAATTGTAATTGGTTTCCGCTACTTGACGCTTGATGTTTGCATGTGAATGTACCTTTAGATCACCCAACCAAATATTTTGCTACCGCAGCGTACCGCACATGAAAAGTCAGCTTTATTTGTGAACAAACAACCACGAAGGACGAACGTCTACGTCAGGAGCACGTTCTATGATCACGGGTGCAACGTAACACGTGTTAGGTCGAGTACGTTTACTTGTAGAAAGAGAGAAGACGTAGTGGCTGTGGCTTCGCTGGCAACGCAACGAATCTTCGTCGTCATCTACCCGTAAGATCAGTTTAACGTTATTATCAATCACGGATATCGGATTCTGCGATGCAGGGTTTCGTATCACTGTCTCGCGCACAGCATTTCCGCGATCGAGTGTATATTCATGAGGCGTGATCTGTCTACGGTGACGAGATGCATACGTCGCACGTATTTTAAACGGCAGCTATTTGACACGAGGATGGTAACGATCTGTCGGTGACCTGGTCACGAGTCGTGCTCGTGTCGCCTCGCGACGTCGCCGGGGAAACATCCGTAATTGGCGATGCAAGCTGTTCCGTGTTCTCGCATCTCCCTAACCTGCCTAGCCATTGTAACTGCATAACCTGACTCGCGTGTATAACATATTGCGCCCCCGATTCTCCGTGCTGGCGCCGATGACGCAACGATGTCCTCGATCGCGCGACATCGGTTACGTCGATCTCGGCACGTCGATCAGACACGTGGCTGCGTGTCGCGTCGAAAGCATCGAGACGCGAACTGTGTTTTGGAGTGCGGCTTGTTTTCGTAACGCTGGAAAGTGGAGCATACCTCGTGCTCCGGTTCCACGTGCTAATGTAGAACATTACCAGATGGGTCGGCTTGGAAGGTGGAATTTACTTTCCAATTAAGAACGTTGAATCATATTTATAATTTTTTTCCATTTACATCAAATCTCAGTTCTTATTTCTGACGTCGTAACTCGATTGAATGCACATTCTTTTTCATTTTAACAAAGTGATTCGATTGAGTTTTTATTTACAATCTGCACAAGCCTGAATCTTTTGTTATCTTACATTAAAAGTAAGATTTATAAATTTGTATGGTATGTGTTATGAGATAACGTTGTCACTAAAATAAATAATGACGTCATTATCTGTAAAATATTATGACTTATTTAAAACTACGAAATACATAATTTAAAATTCAATATCATTTGTGTAAAAATGAAAAGTAATTTATATCGCCACGTTTACTGCCACGAAAGCTAAAGTTGGTGGGAAGTGAGCTTATCTATACGTCATATCTCTTTTTACTGTGGAGCAAGAAATCTTTGATCTGCATTGGATTCCACATTCCAGTTCGATAAGCCTCCAAAAATCTTAAGACAAAGTATTGAGATACATTATACAACCAGTTAATATTTTCTTTTTTTTTCTGTTTGTGCACAGATTGTAGCAGCATTAGCAGAATACACGGATTACGTAATATACACAAAATTATACAGTGACAAAAATTGTGCAGCCAAGATCCCAACCATTCACGCCCGAAACATAGATCTTGAGAAATTCAAGCGTTGCAACGGTGCAGAAGGGCTCTATGTGCTCCACCGTGACTTGGGCGAATGGTACTTTAGTTTCCAAGAGCTTGCTATTGTGGTATCGCGAGAGGTGCGTCCAGGCCTGTAATCCGGGTGTGCAACAGCGACAAAATGCTCAACGAGATCAAGGCGGCGGTACTGTTCTTAGTAAATCTGATCGAAAAAAGCGAAAAATTTAGTCCCGATCAATTGGAATGCTTCAAGCGACACCTGGTCGAACTGCTGACGGAACGTTTCAAAAATCACTGGTTTCCCGATAAACCGTTTAAAGGCCAGGGCTATCGTTGCATTCGTGTCAATGGCCACAATCGTCGAGACGCAACCCTGGAAAGTGCTGCGAACGCGGCTGGTGTCAAGTACGAGGATCTGGCATTGCCGGTGGAATTGACGCTGTGGGTTGATCCCAACGAAGTCTGCTGTCGATTTGGCGAGAGCAAGGGGTCGTATTGTACGCTGGCATCATTCGATGATAAAGAAAACACCGTACCCATTTTTCAAGCCGAGCATAATGAGAACATAGAGAACGAGAATAAGCCAGCTCACATGGGGTCTATCAAGATACAAGTGAGTATTGATACATTAAAAGATTGAATTTACAATATTTATGCGAGCAAATATGAATCTAAATTTAATAGAGTAAACGAAAGAATTTTTATAAATGTGTATTCAGAAAAACTTATTGTCTCAGAAATATTTAGTTTCATCAATTTATAAATTATCTTGCCCGTATTCATAGTCAGACTTTGTACTTAAGGCTTCCTTAAATTTATCTTTAGATGCTCGGCCAATGAAATCATTCGCAGAGTATCTGAAGATAAATTTAAGGAAGTCTTAAATATAAGGCCTGACTATAAATACGAGTATTAATCTTTGTTTGTTATATATTTTTTCAATCGTGCAAAATGTTTGAAAAATAGGTAATTTATAAAACATCTGTTCGATTTACTTATCATAAATTGATATGCCAAATAGGTTGTAAAATTATCGATTTACAAAACAAATTGAAGAATTAAAATTATTTATTATATAGTTTATTATACAGTTTTTGAAATAATTACACCGCTTTACAAATTTTGAATAATTTTTAATATATCAAGAAAGGAAACAATTTTTTAAACATGTTTTAGAATGCTGAATTTGAATCTGTCTCCAGAAAACTTATATCAGGTCGAATTTTTAAAATAGCATGTCATTTTTAAGCTGTAACATATCAATTTTTAAACTATAACATTTCTTTACGAATAATTTGAGTGCGACAAATGATGAGCAAGGCAAGTGAAATCAATCCAAAGTCAATATAAAAATCAATATAAAAAAAAACAAAAATTAAACGTTTTAGTTTTTCTGATTTGTCTTTTGATTTTAATAAAATTTTACTATATTGAAAAAATTGTCTTTTGTATCTTAGAAACCTGATCTAATGGAAATATTTCGATAGCAGATTCGGGTTCGGCATTGGAAATTATTCTAAAAATAGTCTATATGTTTTTGCATAAACCTTACTAGTATTATATTATTAATTATATTTGCTATTTATCATTCTATTTTTATCTTCATTGTTTTTTATGTCCAATCTAACTCTATATTCGATGTAATATCTCTAAAATATATAAAATAATTTTGATGTATTATAATTTCAGAAATCCCCTCTAACCGCAAGTACAGAACAACAACAATCGAAATCAAAACCATTAAGCATCGCTAATCAAAATCAACAGCATAGCAATAACGGTACAGGTAAGAGACGCAACTTGAACAGTCCTAGGTTGCATCTGAACAGAAATCGTTCGTGGTTTGGCCATTCCTTCAGTATGGGTTACGGCCCTCATCCAATCAGCCAGCCATGGTACAATATAATGCCCCCACATTTTCTCGGTGGTCCTTCTCCACCACCTTTTATAGGACACCGAGGGAATAAGTGGGTACATCAACCTTCTTATCCCGCAGGACCCGCCCGTTTTCACCATTGGTCTCCCAAAGCTGCTCTTAAAGTATAAAGAGAATCGTTTTAAGAAAATAGTTAAGAAACCTGTTTCTTCTTGGAAAAAAAACAAAAAATTTGAAAGACACAAAATATAATTGCTTGTTTTCCAGAAAATATTATTGAATCTATTATTAAAAGTATTTAAATTAAAATGTATTCACAATGACATTTATGCAGGTAGAGAATGTAAATGTAAATTTTTATATTAGGAACAGGTTTATTAACGCGTTTCAGTAACAAAAATTATCCATCCTGTAATTACAAATGACCTTGTTCGAACTAAGGCTTACGATTTTTTATGAGAGGTATTACATGTTACGTACATATAATAAAAATTGGAGTAAATGTTTAACTCCGGATGCAAGGTTGCTTGTAAAAAGGTAGAATAGTGCACTATAGCAATTCAAATAGAATAGTAAACGACGCAGTATATGCGTGAAATGGAAATAGATGTCATATCATGACAAGTTATTTCGTCGATCAATTTTTGAAATAACTGAAACCTTATTCGGAATATACGCGTGATAATGTATTAAAGAATTGAGAATTGAGAAAATTTATTTATCTTATAATCATCGCAAATTAATGAATTGTATATTTGCTTTGTTACATCTGTTTTGTTACATTTGTTGTTGTCAAATGCGTTATTGAATTTGTATAATTGAATTGGCAACGCCATTTGTTTAAGCGCGCGCGTTAATAGTTTATAATAGGGCAGAATAGGAATAATTTCGAAAGTTTTAAAACTTGATACAATTATTTATGGTATAAATTTATTATTTTAAGTCTGTTCTTTATCGATAAATTCTCTAAACTAATGTATATCGATGCAATAAATTAAAGTGTAATAAATATAGTTTGTTTCACTTCAACTATTGCACCGTGAACATTATCAATTCAGAGAGTTTTTCGATAAAGAACACAGATTTTTTGCCACATTACATTCGATGATATTCATGTTTATAAAGGCCATAGCTTCACGTATTTTAAATGGTTTATCTGGGTTTCCTCCGACAAACCTCTTAAAAGTGATGCAGAACAGCACACGTTATGTGTACAGCTGTATAGTCTTAAAAAGACCATGATTAAAACTTTTTTATTTTACATCGAAAAGATATTTTTGTAATAAATAATATGTCGTATATGTGAAGCACAGAAAAGCTTTATTTTACACCAAAAAGAATGTCGACATCAAGTCCGAAAATTTTCGAAATTAATCCCGTTATTTGTTCCATTATAGTCTAATTTAAACTGGACTATAAATAACCGGTTTTGTTCCGATATGACTAACATTTGCTCTAGTAGATTTTATTTACATATTATTAGCTATGTTGTAAAGAACTGAATGAAGTGTTAAAAAGTTACCTTTTATTTCGTGTGTGTGTGTGTGTATATATATATATATATTATTACAATCGATTGTGATTGCGTGATAAACGTGATTTCGGTAGAATCTTGATTTCTATTCTGATTTGGATAAATAT